TCTTCTTCATTGCTTTCGTTTTGGGTTTAGAAGAAGGTGTTGGGTAGAGATGAAGAGAGAATTGGAAAGGAAAAGGAGACTTGATTTACACTCAGGACGCATGGGGTACTTGAGAGGGTTATAGGGGGAGGGACGGTGGGTGCAAAGTCATTGTATTTCGGTGCTAGAAATAATGTGGGGTCGAACTTAGCAACCCAACATTTTTATTTAATGGCATGACATGAACGAGTCATCTTTTGTAATGAACATGAGGGAATGGTGGGGTGGAGGGGGTGCTTTTGCACACACAAAAAGACATTGCCTCTATCAGCTCTACTCACAAATTTGTGCCCTTATCGAATATCATGGATTGCTTCCTTATAAGCCCATTGTTTTCCATATTTATTGATGGAAAATGGAAGGAAATAGGAAAAGATAGAGAACTTCCTACATGCCTGCATTTATTGCATTGCTATGTAAAGATCACCTTTTCATTTTTCACTCATATAGCATGAAGTGATATGATTAATGTCATTCCAAACTAGCTGATGAATTACTATATGAGCTTAACTTTTATAGATGAATTATTGGAATTTCAATTAGAACAAAAGGTAATCTTTTTTTTAATCCTTTTCTTTTGTGGATGAATTATTGGTATTCATCTTTTGCATACCATTTATAGCTAAAGTTTGGGCTTTGAATCGCTAAATTAGAAGGAATTCTGTATTATTTTACCAAAGAGAGAAGTCAAATTTTGAATAAATTAATGTAGTAGTGGATTTAAAATTTAATATGAAAAATGGTTAAAAGGTAATTATATAAAGTTATGATTCGAGTCGATTCGAATTAAAAATTAAAAATTGAGAGACGACGATGGTCATGCTGTCACCATCTTTGATCCACCCCTAAATAAAAGGGAGCGTAAAATCCACTAGTGATTGGAAAGAAATTTACAGAACAAAAAACAAGTTCAATGATCATAAATGCGTGATTCAAGAGCATAGAGAATATATATAATGATTAAAAAAGCCTTCATGGTTGAAATGCAATGAATTTGACCATCATAATTACCTACTACAAACGACTTAAGAAAGAAATATATATGAAGGATTAGGATTAGGGGAAGAGGGTAATGTATCTTTGGGAGGGCCATGGCTTTCTCTAAAAATTTTAAAATTATTTATTTAATATATATATTTAATTTTTTATTTTTATTTTTATTTTAAAAAATTTATTTATTGTATTTTTAAATGATCTTTTCAAAATAATTTTTTATTTAATAATTAATGTAAAGAAAAAAAAAATTGACCCTTCAAGCCTTATTCAATTTTATCTTAATTTTTAAGTTTCTCTCTACCTCTTTCTCTCTTTTTCTTTTTCTTTTTCTATTCTCTTTTGTATTTTTACTTTACTTTTTTCTATATAACTCAATACTAAAACACACTTCTTTTTTCAAAATAAATTTATAAACTTATGAGTTTGGATAAAGAAAGATGAGATCACTCGCCACAATTGTGTGAAATTAAGATAAAATAATTTTTTATTTATATTATTTAACTATTTATAGATTTAATAATTGTGTGAAATCTTAAATATCTTATTCAATGTTTTATACTTTATGTATTTTAGTTTTATATTTATTATTTTAAGTTCAAATAAAAATAAAATAAAAATATTAAATATTGATTGCATTAATTTTTTTTAAGTTTGATTAAAGTATAAATAAGTTAAAAATAATGAATAAATTCTTTAAAAGAAAAAGATGTAAATCGTTTAAATAATCTTTCTATATTTGAACCATGAAACCGTTCGAGTTCAATTTTTAAACAATTATTAATTAAATTTATCATATTAATTTTAAAAATTTTTAACTTTCATTTTTTTTTACCTTTAACTCAATAAAAATTGATTAATTTCACTCTTGAATAGGATAGTATTATTTTTTATTGTTAGAAGAGAAACAATGGAGAAGGATGCAAGGATGAAGGGAGTTGTCCCACAGGGTAAAAGGCTTGACTAACTGCCTCGTCCTACATGGTTAAGTGACAAAAGTTGTGCACGTGGACATCTTTGTCACTCAGGGAAGCGGCTGAAACCTCTGTCACATGGCGCCTTCACACCATCATAAATTATCGACCTGCCTTTTCACAGACAGCAACTCGTGCAAGGAACAGACATTTGCGAAAAGCAAGGGCAAAGGGTTTTGATGATACTGTATATTCTAGTCTTCAGGTGAGAAAGCTGATATATTTTTTTCTTTATAGAATAATTTTTTTTTTCTTAAAGTAAAGAAGTAATCATTTCATATCCTATAAATCTCATTCTTCTTTTTTTTTTCTAGTTTTTTAATTTGATATTTTTAAATTAGAGTCTTAAGTTTTTGATCATTGTCTGATGAGATATTCATTTGAAAATTCTAAAACATGAATTTAATAAAATAAATAATAAATAACAATTTAAAGTAATCTAACATTCGTAATAACTGAATAATAATAGAATGTATTAAGAGTGAATTTTAAACATATTTTTCACTTGTTTTTATTTGAGCCACTTTTGTCCAATTTAAGAAAGTTGGTTTACTTAATTTTGGTTGACTCTGTATCAATTTTCAATACAATAAAATTAATCCATTTGATCAAAAAAAAATCACACCTAATTTGTGTATTAATTAGAAAATTCATACTTAATTTGTGCAACATTTATGAGCTACTTGATTTGCATCAAGATAAACGTGAGAAAATGTGCATGGTTCACATAAAAGTTGAGTATTTTCTTTTTTTGGAAAGGACCATGAATTCAAGGAAGGATTGCAATGAACTATACAAATTAAACATAAAAATTAAAGTAAAAAGAAAAAAAGAAAAGTGGTAGCATATATTGGGTAAAGTTTGAGTGAAAAATGTCCTTAGAATGTTTGTTTCTTGGCTAAAATATTAAAATTAAAATGCATAATCTAAATAAAAGAAATTCTACTTTAAACCATGTCCCATCCTTGTGGACTCACATCATTCATACCTAAAATGTGAAACACCTCTAGGCTCTAAGGTAAGTTTTTATCTGGTGAAATAAGATAAAGCAAAAGGCTATAGAAGGGATGAGGTTATAGCAATGATAAAGCTTATATTATTATGGGTTTTGCTAACAAGAACCACAAAGGCATTTTTAAGATACTTTTCATGACAATATTTCTATATTAAATATGCAGTCGAGGATTAATGATATAGTTTCTAATGTGTCCTTGCCATTTAGCCAAGATATATTGCTTTATATAATAACTATAAGCACTTTTCAACAAGACCATATTGTATTTCGTTTTGTAATGGGTATTTAAATTTGAAACCACAAGACAATTGCTCCTGTCATTGACTTATGAGTCTAAAGATGAGCTGACAAATATAGTGAGACTAAACTGAAAGCTGGTTACAACAAAGCATGAGATGATAGCTGCTTGTATGAGATCATTTTTATGAACAGAAGCTACATGCATCAGTCTCCATTCAAGTCACTGCCAAGTGAGTTGTAATTCAAAGCATCAGTATGACAATTCAATACCAAATGTCTTGTTATTGTAACTACATATAGTGAAACCCTGCTATCAAGCTCATCCACAAAGTACACCTTCTGCAGTTTCTATCAGCTAAGAAACTTTATGCAATCCCTATTGATCCAAAAAGAAAGCTTAGATATTAATTGAGTTGAATGATCGATTATCTCTATAACTTAAACTGTCAACGTCTACATTCGAGTTCCGCTAGTAAACAAGAGAGAACCTAGCCAAAGTAATAGAATTGAACTCATAAATTCTATATTTTCATCTTAGAATTTGAATTTGAAATATTGAAATTAGAATCTTTATAATAACATAAGATCTTAAAAAAATAAAAAATTCAAATCCCATGTAACTCTACTATTTAAAAAAGAAAAAGAGATTTGACCCACTTTTTCGAAATTTTCCATTAGAATCTCATAGAAATTTGCCAAGTAGTTCAATTTTTGTGGTAAGATATTGTATTTAACCTTTTGGTTGATGCTTACTAAGTGTCGAAACATAGAAAAGCAAATGGGTGATGAATTGTTAATTATATGTGTTGGTACCTGTATCAACCTGATGTTCCTTTGTCTACTTTTGGATGCATGTTTATCCTAAAAAAACAATGAATTAAGGGACTGAAAAGATTTTAATTTAGAATACGATGTAACCACTAGTGGCAAACAAATGAATAATAATGATTGGAGTTTGGTCTAAAAACAGAGAGAAAATTAGGCTGCAAGAGAAGAATAGTTTGGTGGGCCATTTGACCTAACTGTGACCGACTTCCAAGTTTGTTTTCAACTAATTAATTACAAAATTATGACAAAGAGACGAGAAGTTTGACTATGATGCACACCTGACTTATGTTTTTTGGTTTGCCTTTTTGTCCAAGGTAAAGTGAGTAAAATCAATCCTGACCAATTACTCATCTATATCAAATATAATATGGATAAAACGATTTGATTAATCAGTTTATTAGATTAATTAATTCAAAATATTTAGTCTAATTAATTTTTTGATTGGTTCTTGGTTTTAAAATTTTTGAACCAATCTACTCAAAAACCCAAATTAGTTATATATATATATA